GCTTGACCTCTTTACTATGATTTGTCACGATGAGATAACGGCTTTCATAGTCTACAAATGATTGCAAGGGAGAGAAAACTGACATCATACTGACTCCACGGCGGGGCCAAGAGCTGTGATGGGTTGTAGTCCATGCTTTTATGGGCTACTCCTTGCTCTGTGGATTGCTTCACATTCCACCAGTGTGACTCTATAGAACGGTATGAGATCAACCTTCTGTTCTTGGCTGACAACAATATTATTTCCTTATTATTTACAAGTCAGTTTTTACTCTAGCTGTTTCACTTTAATGTGATGTAGACTTGGGACCAGGCTTCCTCTTGGAGTTCTTGTCATATCAGCCAAATATTAAAAATTAAAGTGTGGTCAGCACCCGTAGTTTATTAGTGTCCTTGGATACGATAAAATTTGTGATTCTCACTCTAGCCAGTGATTTCCAAACTCCATTCTCTCCCTTCTTTTTGCATTATCAGTAGAACATCGTTCTAAACTTCTCAAGCATCATAATAATAATACATTCAATGGGACTTGTTTTGACTGGGCAAGTTTAAGCAGCAGCATCTATTTAGCAATTTTCTAGCTAGCCATGAAGACATCTGAGGCTATGGCTAGCAAATCTCTGTGCTAGTCGTTAAAACAAAAGCACACAAGGTTGAAAATACATTGCCATCGTTATCTATAATCGCTCAAAGAATCAAAGAATTTGAAACCAGTCAGGGGTCTGGGACAGGATCCAGGATTGATTTCCTAGGAAAAAGAACAGGAGCTGGAGAGAGGAGTGTTGTTTGTTAGAGGTACAGGCAGACTCAGCCCATGGTCTCCCAGTTCCTTGTGAAGTGAGCTTGTGTTGCCATGGGCCAGAGGTTATCCCGCCTCCTCTTTCTTGGGGCTGGTTCCTGACTGCTTACTTTCTCTGAAGTCTGAGTCAGACAAGCACTTCTGAGAGTTTGCAAAAATCCATGCATACTCACCATGATTTCCAAAAGGAAACAGCAGCTTTTCTTCAGTGAGAAAGGCCACAGAGGGCCTCTTCAACGACTGTCCTTGTCACCCTTGTATCCTGTCTTGGACCACACACATCTAGCTCCCTACCTTTTACTCTCTTACCCAACTTTCAAGTCAAAATGAACACATTTCCATTCCTTGGAGAGAAGGGCCTTAGCAAATTTGTCTCCCTTCTGCCATAGAAGGTAAGCCGTTTCTGGACTGCACCGAGAGGAAGGAATGCCTGCGGCCAAGAGAGAGAAGTATAAGAACAAGTGTGCCTCATTATTTCTAGAATGGCTATCTAGCCTCATAATCTACTATCATCATCATCATCATCATCATCATCATCATCATCATCAATTACTAAAGCAGAGCTTCTAACACCAATATGGGTGGTTGAAGAAAATAGATGGAAGTGAGAAAAGCTTTCAGACAGAGTGTTTCATTTATTTATTGCCATTTTTCCCCCAGGAGCAGACATTATTTCTCTGTGGTCTGTGGCATTTGCTTTGCTTAGTAATGATTTCCTGGGCCCAGCCTTTTCCATATGTGGGTATAATTGTTGCTTGCTAGCATTTTGAAAACAGGATGGATGGGCGTTTATGCAGAACAAAAGCTTCAGAATTTCGAGATCACATGCTCAATTACCTACTGCTAAAATGCTGAAAAGTTCTGTGAAATGTCATAAAATAATAGTGTGTGTGTGTGTGTGTGTGTGTGTGTGTGTGTGTGTGTGTGTGTGTGTGTGTGATGTACTGAGAAAGTACAATACAATTTATATTATTTGATTTTCTGGGTGAAAAATACATTTCCATGGTCCTTGCCCTTCTTCCCTTCCCATTATTTTAGGACTAACTGGTGTAATATCTTGTTAAGAAGTTTATTTCAGCTTCAGAAAAAAAAATAGAGAGACAACTCCTCCTCCCCGCACCCATATGGCCATTCAGAAGTCAAACACATCCTGCCATAGTTCTCAGTAATAATTTATAGGTTGCACTCACTCCCAATGCATCCAGCAGGATTGCCGTGCCCACGGCTTCCTACTTAAAAAAAATATGAAAACCACAAAGAATGTTTGAAATGATTTTTTTTCTTGGTTGGCGGCATGGATGCCGTTCCTCAAGGAAAATGCCTTGGGCTAAAACAAAGCCATATTCATTCAAAATAGATTGTTTAGTAATTGCAGGACTCTGGATTTTGTAAAACTGACTTTCAGTGCAAGGGTTTTACTTTCCTGGGAGAAAGTTTAAACGCAAAAGGGAACAAAACACCAGCAGAGGACAAAGTGTTAAAAAGAACTTTGCCAAGGGCAAGGGCAGTTCAAACAACAACCATGTGAGCACACTGAAAAGAAACCAGCCAATGTGGATGTGATTTTGTCTTGGGGTCACTCAGGAGAACCTGGCTGGCTTTATTTGTAAGGCAATTGTCAAATCATTCTGTAGAATATGGATGAGGTGAAACACAGAGGTGGGGTCTTATTGTGGATCATCTGTAACTTTTCAAATACAACCTTCTCTGAAATTCCAGGGAGAATGTGAGTCCAATAAAGTAAGCTGTCAGTCAGTCCAGTGTGTTTATTTATGATCCCGGTGTGCCAGGCACTGTTCTAGCCATTCTGAAGTGATACAAAATAAAGCTTAGTCATCACCCCTTGCAGTCTGAGTGCAAATGGATTAAATCTGAGCACACACACACACACACACACACACACACACACACACACACACACACATATCCTATGTGGGTGGTCAAGAACACCCACCGTATAGAGATGCAAAAAGCTCATTTAGAAAACCCCTGATCAGAAAACTAAGAAAATTAAGAAGGCTGGACAGCAATGGATTGGATTGCAAATAGATCCATTCATAAGACATGTCTTTTCTGGGACTAATTCTGACTGAAGTTGGGAATTCTCCTTTGCACATTCAAAAATGTACAAAATGGTTTTGGAATTCCTGTGTGCCGTGACGAAACTGCACTGAAGTTGAGGTGCTGCTGACTTGATTAAGTCACAGGACTCGTACCACTAACATGCATATTCTTAGGGTCTAAGTGAGGAACTGACTTGTCTTTATATCCAGCACCATGAAGGTAGGAACCACAGAATGAGGATGAATGAATGAGGCACACTTGCAAAGATTTCATCTGAGAGAACTGCGTATTTATTTATTTGGTGCTGGGGAGGGAACTCAGGACCTTGTGGATGCCAACAGGAGTTGCCCTAAGGAATAATCTGTCCAGTGCCCAGGTGGAAGAGGGGAGAAGAGGACTGGGACCTGGCTAAGCAGAGAGGGCTGCTGAGTAGGCCCCAGTGGTGTCCAAAAACAGAAAAAAAGGCTGGACATTTTAGCATAGGGACTGGACCAGTAGTCTATTCCTGGCTCTGCATGATGCCTGGATTTCAGGAATATTGATACCTTGGTTCTGTGGTTGAAGTGCTTGCACTGACTGATTCCACAAAAGGTTTGATGACACACTTGACTGCACATTAAGGTGTTTCCTTGATATGTCATTTAAATTTTTCTTAGTTTCATTCTCTTTTTATTGCCCAAGAAGATGCAACCTTTTATTTAGCTTTCAAACTTTGCTTGTGCCTTCAACACTTTCCTGAGAATTTTTCTGCCCTTTGATAAGGAAAGCATGTTAGATCCTGTCACAGACACATGCATTACACATGAAACCACCTTAGGCCCTGCTCACAAACCCATAAGAACAAACCCATTTAGGTCTCAGCAGGAAGCACTTCTTGCATGAAGGCAACCTGCTCAAACATCTGGGCTCCAGGGCAGCCTAGGACAGTATGTGAATTGCCATGCTGTGTCCCCAGACACTCCAGGAGCTGGATTTCACATAAACTGTCATGAAGCATCCAGCTACACAGTGCAGGGACTCTTGTGTTCCATGCTACTCTCCAACCCCAGTTCCTTGCCTGACAGGGTGCATTTGGATACAGTGATGCATGGCTTCAATTCATGTAACAACTTGACTCTATCCTAACTTTTGTTTTTTTTTTTCATCCTCCTTCAGACAGAGTCATTGTACAAGGATCTTGAGTTCAACTTCCCCACGTCAGTTCAGAACTCTGGCCACGAGTCCCGGCAAAGCTCTCTGGGAGTGGGGATCCCCTTAGAAATGAAAGACAAGTCACAGCCAGGGAGAGCCAGAGGAGGAGTGGCTATCCTCTCCTACTTTGCTTTCTGCCTTTGCGGCACCCTTGAGCAGCCCGCAGGCTCCTTATTTGGGGTTAGGGGCGCCCAGGGGAAAGGAAGCCGGGGGCCGCCTGGCGGCATTCCGCGCCACAGTGTGGGCTCCGTCTGCCGCGGGCCCCGCAGCACCCCCTGTCTGCGCCAGCACCTGTTGGCCCGCCAGCTGGCGGCCCGCGCCCCCCGCGCCCCCAGCGCCCGCCCGGCCGCCCGCCCCGCGCCCGCGCCCCGCGCGCCGCCCGCTGGGGGAAGGTGGAGACGGGGAGGGGACAAACGCGGTCCTCCCGGCCCGCCAGGCCTTCTCAGCGCAGCCAGTGCAAAGCGGCCACCGCTCCCCAGCCGTGCGTCCAGCCCTGCGGCAGCTCGGGCAGGCGAGCGCGCGGGACTCCGAGCCGCCTTAAGTCTCCCGGCTTCCTGCAAGAGCCTAGCTCGTGCCCGGGAGGACTTCGGGGGGCCGCCGACTGCAGCTCAGCGGCGGTTCCGCGGTGGATCGGGGCCAGTCCCGAGTCGCCCACGCGGCCTCCCTGCCCGCCCGGGACCCGCGCGGCGCTCGCCGGGCACGGTCCCCTCCCCCCAGGTGGGGGTGGGGCGCCGCCGGCCGCCCCGTTCCGCAGCTTTGTCATTGATCCCAAGGTGCTCGCCTCGCTGCCGACCTGGCTTCCAGACTGGCCCGGCGGGACTTCGAGTCCTCGCCTGCGTCCTGCCCCCCAAACTGACAGGTGCTCCCTACGAGTCGCCACGACTCATCGCCGCTCCCCCGCGTCCCCACCCCCTCTTTCCTCCCTCGCCTCCCCCCCACCCCCGGCACTTCGGCACAGCTCAGGATTTGTTTAAACCTTGGGAAACTGGTTCAGGTCCAGGTTTTGCTTTGATCCTTTTCAAAAACTGGAGACACAGAAGAGGGCTCTAGGAAAAAGTTTTGGATGGGATTATGTGGAAACTACCCTGCGATTCTCCGCTGCCAGAGCCGGCCAGGCGCTTCCACCGCAGCGCAGCCTTCCCCAGGCTGGGCTGAGCCTCGGAGTCGCCGCTTCCCCAGTGCCCGCCGCGAGTGAGCCCTCGCCCCAGTCAGCCAAATGCTCCTCCTCGGCCTCCTCCTGCTGACATCTGCCCTGGCCGGCCAGAGAACCGGGACTCGGGCTGAGTCCAACCTGAGCAGCAAGTTGCAGCTCTCCAGCGACAAGGAGCAGAACGGTGAGTCTCGCCCCATCCTCCCCCTTCCCGCTTCTCTCTGTGCGTTCCGGTTGGCATTGTGCGGTGGCGTGTGGGGTCCTCCAGCCTTGGAGCTGATGGTCGCGTATCTGGCGCTGCAGATGGAGTCCTGTGAGTCCGCGTGCACTTTAGGGGGGTGGCGGGGATTCCGGGAGTTTGCAACTTCCAAAACTGACCCGGCAGCGGGAGCGGGAGTGCCCCACAACTTCAGCTTGAAGAGGACGCTTGGGCTGTGGGAAGGATTGGAAAAGTCAGCTATAACCACATTGCAGGGTGGCATATGGCCAGAGTTACAAGCAAAAGAGCACTTTTAAGAAGAAATAAAAAATGAATGAGTCTTGGCAAGTTTGACTTTACACAGGTATAGGTATAGGGTCGCCGGGTAGAATGAAGAGTTCAGGAAAGCTATCAGTGTCCTTAATTGAAACACTGTATATGGGAAGGCAGGTACCAATTAAGAAATAGGTGAGAATATGGAGGTCGAGAGGTTACTTGAACATTTTCAAGGGAATCAGTGATGGTTTTTCTCGTGTACTTTTTTTTTTTTTTAAACTTGCCTTTGTGCCCTGAAGTCCTCACCTTTTGGTGGTGTGTTTTTTTGTGTGTGTTCGTGAATGACTATTTTGTGTGTGTTGGAAACGAGTTAATCCCGCATAGGAAATGAGAATTACTTTCAGCTTTCAAGTGTACCTGAAATGTTTAGAAAACTTTCAGATGCAAGTTCCCCTGGGCTGGGATTGCACGGAGCTGGAGAAAGGCTCCTTTCATAAGGCCAGGGAAGCTTCGGGTGTGTAATTTGCTTAGCCTCTGAACCCCATATGATTTACATCATTCCATTTCTAAACTCTTTTGCTCTTGATCTGCCATTATGAAGTAATTTTTGAGACTCTTTTGTAAATAGAAATTTTATACTGCACATGGAACCACAATGTTAATGTAGGCTGTCTGAAACTGGAATATTAAACACTCTGTTTACAAGTGGCGGTTCTTGCTGCTATTTGAAAAGAAATGTACATGTTTTTCTACTTTGTCATCTGTTTACAATGCAAGTTCACTAACCAGGTAAGAAGTCTGTGAGCGGCATTTGGAGAATGAGAATCAAGTGCAAGCATTGTTTAACTCATAGTGACATTTTCTATATATAGGGGATGCTTCAAGGCTCCACATCTGGATTTCAACTCTATAAAATGTTCATCTTAAAACAAAGCCCCAAAATACATAAGTACTCTTCATTGTCCCTCACTGTGCCAGGATATGGTATCACATTTATTGTCGTGCTTGCTCCTTACCCTTAGCTAATGTGATGGCATGTGGCATCTGCAGGCTCTTGAACTACTGATCAAAGGGCAGTCTAGTGATCTGTCTATAATCATAGGACTTGCAGAGGGCTAAGGGGTCAAAGGAGCCACAACACCAGCTATACCAAGGCAGGAAGCAGCACCAACCAACCTTTGTTCTTTCTAATGCAAAATAAATGTCCAGTTCAAAATATCACTTCTTACTGGATCAGCTTCTCCAGGACACCAGTGCACAGTACTCCTCTCTTCTCTCTCTTCCCAGTCCCTCATCTCTTATTGCTGTGCCCCAGCATCTCCCAGACTCCTCAGTATGTGAGTGTGTGCATGCCCTTGCTCTTTTCTTGCAGTCCTTTCTTGTGATCCATGTGCTATCACCACTTTGTAATGAGCCCTAGAGCTTTCAGCTGCCTGCAGCCACTGGGTAGCTTCACATCCTCAGGAGATGTGAGTTCAGTAAGCCAGGCCACACACATTCTGGTGCCATCTGAGGCTGGGCCATTCTCATTCCTAAGATGCATGATGCTAAAAATAGCCTCGTCGTTTCCTAATCTGTGGGCAGAGGATCTGGCTATGTTTAGCTCTTGGAGTGTTGGCAGCAGGAAGTAAGCAAAGAGCAGAGGAACTACTCACCTTATAGTTTCCAGCCTAACCAGAGGTAGGACTGGCCAGCACTAGGGGGCAATATAGAGCTATTTTTCTGCACATGCTCAGGTTGAATTTTCCAGTTCATGGGGGTTTCAGGATTTGAAGCTAACAGGTGGGTGTGGAAGAAGATCCCTCCGGAATGTGACTAGATTTCCTGGAATAACAACTACTTCTTCCTTCTCTTTGGCTTTCAAAATTGCCACTTCCTTATTTGGGTTATTTTTCAACCTCCTGTTGGGATGTGTTTGAGTTTTGACTGCCCCGTTGCTCTTTGTGATGATGATTGTTCAATTCTGTAGATGTGAACCCTCCTAACAAATTCCACCTAGAGAATGTCAGGGGCCCACTTGAAGTATTGTATGCAAAGGCCTTCCAAAGGCCAAATGCAGTGTCCAAATTGATCTTGTTTTGTGATAATAGGCACTTGGCTCTGTTTTCTTTTCTTTTCTTTTTTCTTTTTATTTTTTTCACAGTCCACGGAGGCTTTTTATTAATGTGTTTTACATCTCTAGAAAAAAGAATTGCAGGATTTTTGCTCCTGTATGTTTTCGTCTTGCTTCTTCATGGTCCATGATGCCAGCTGAGGTTGTCAGTACGATGAAGCCAAACTGACCGGATGGGAGCAGATTGTTCTGCCATTTTTCTAGGTCTTTGAGTTGCACATCAAATCTAGGGCTTATCACTCCGCACTTGTTCAACCTGCCTGTGAGGTTCACGATGATTTTCCCATCTCTGTGGTTGTCGATGATTTCAAACTCACCAATGTAACCATGCTTCATCATCACAGTTAGGAACCTAATGATGACTTTGGAGCAGGCTGATGTGGAAAGATGGCGGAAAGAGCTTGGCTCTGTTTTCCAGCCCCCCTCCCCATAGTGCTGATATTCCTAGGCCTTATTAGTTTTAGTATGACTTTGATGTCGTAAGTGGGAAAATGTCTGTTCCATATTTGAGCTAGATACACATACACACTTAGACTGGAGCATGTGGGCATGACTGAAACTTAGGGATGGGCATCATTTGCCCGGTTACCAGTTACATGTTTGTTTGTTTGTTTGTTTCTTATTGTAAAATTATTGCGCTTGTTATTTAAATGAAAAAGACTTTTATCTATGCACCCCACACCCCGTACTGTTAGTAATAGAACCAGAACTCACACATGTGAGATAAGCCCTATACCACTGAACCTTATCCCCAGCCCTTCTTCATCCCTGAAGGCTTATTTCATACCTTGAAGGCTCCTGTATGATGCAAAGCTTTCTAGATTTTCCCTTGAGGAAATGAATTGAAAAATAACATTGACCTACTTGGAGGATTTCTGGCTGTTAAACTAGGTATGACGTAAGTATTTGGGATGAGAATGCCTACTGTGGGGTGTGGAAGTTCTTCCTGAGTGTTTCTGAGTTGCAGCAGGTGAAACCACATATATGTTCAGAAACAACAAGAAGAAAAGCTTATTTTGTGCACGGAATAGAGCCCTCACAGATAACAATTACAAAGCTATTGGGGGAGTGATGCTTCACCTATGTTGTGTCAGTGAATTTAATTGACCCATAATCTGAAATTGCTTCTTACTGTCCTCATTCTCCCTAACCACTTTGAGTTTTGACTTAAGAGTTTGCCTTTATTAGGGCTCACTTATGACCATCAGTTATTGCATATCCTCTTTCCTACAGGGTCCTTCATAGTTCTTGGGACAGCTTAGCTTTGGGAGAATGGTCCACTAGGAACCCTTTGGAGTTCTTGGTTCCCTTTTAGTGCTAGCTCTTCCTTCCTGTGGTTGACACATGCCTGCACCTAATCAAACTGTGCCCACCTCTTATCCCTTTAGGCATATCTGGAAGTTCTTTTGTGAACAAACTTAGCTGAGGCTTGAGAAAGGTGCCCAACAGTACACGGGGTCTGAGTAAGGGCTAGAAGGACGTTCCTGCAAGGCAGGCCTTAAGTTTTAGTGTGTGACCTTTGTAACATTTATTTTTTTTGTCATTTAGGGGCTTTAAAAAGAAACTTCCTCCTATGGTTTTGTTCTGTGTGAGAGAGCTGAGGCAGCTGACTAAGGAAAGAACTCTTATGTAATGATGAGTCCTGCCCTTTCCTTCCAATAGGTGGGTTTCGAAAGGCCTATACCAACAGTGATAGTTTGTTCTGAATCAAGTACACTTCACATTAAATTGAAAAGGTATTCAGAACGTGTACAGGTCCTGCAGAAGCTCTGCAGATGGGCATGGGATTTGCTAATTCCTTGTGAACTGATGCTGGTATTGGAACTAAGCTGTCTCTCTAGTGGTAGCCTGAGTGGTATAACTCTCTTACTCAGCTAAGCCTTAGCTGTGTCTGGTCAGATAAGCCCTCCTGTCTTCTCACCTGTCTCATGCCCACTTCTGCCTTTGTGCTTATATTTTCTGTACTGTTAAGATTCTCAACTCTATCTATAAACTTCCGTGTCTCTTATTTGAAAACCCTGAGGATAATCTATGTTAATTTATATAAAGCACCCGCAAATCAAGCATTTCTAAGACCACTAAAGTGGTCCCCATAGGCTTTGTGCTGTGTCAAAATACCATGTCATAATCAAAGTTTCTTCACTGGATTATTCTCATTTTAATATTTTGGATCATTTATTTGAAACTATTATCTGTGACCAAAATATCTCTGTACTATTCATGAAATTGCTAATTCAGTTTTAAAAATTCTGTGCTGGGTGTATGTCTCCACTTCTGGCTTCACCTGTAAGAAATTACCCTTTCCTTTCTCCTATGAGTCTATCTAGAGGTTGATTTCCAATTGCTGTGCCATAGTACTTATGTTATACTGTTAAAATGGGGGAAATGTTTGTAGTGGGTCCACTCTTTCACCAGCACAAAGGGAGCAGCCATTCAAAGTTTCCTGGTACAGCCCCAAGCCTGAGAAAACCTTCAACCAGAGTCTCAGAACTGATTGGTTAGTGTTCCTATCCTCCCAACAGCAAAGCTTTCTGACACTGTGGACAACTTAGCTCAGATTTCAGGTAAACTCACTGGAGCGACCTGGAGTGAAGAA